TACATTTGCATCTAAAAACGTGAGCCGTGTAATGTTTGTATATTTATCTTCTTTTGAAATTAATTTTTAATAATATTTGATGTAAAATAGAATTTTTTTTAATGTATTTAGCAAATTCTTTTTTATACAAATCAATATACAAAGAACCGGAAATCAAAGAATTTTATGGCCCCACTTCATAGGATCGCCTGGAGAAGACAACATGCCATGCACTGCTAGCCCTTGATTTGTTGCGACCAAGAGGTGGAGGCAAGGACCAACCGTCTGCCATTGTTGGAACTCTAGCTAGCACCTCTGTTAACTCCCTCAGGAATTTGCAACTGGTCGTAATACTTTCTAGCATTCTAAAGTGAATTCCGTCTACTTAAAAGTGACAAACCTTGAAGCGAACTCCGTTAGAAAAAACTAACAGAAATTTGATTTTGCAGACTTTGCCACAAAGGATTGAATCCAAATTTTTTTACCATAAGGATTATATTCCGAATACTTATTACCACGAGGACCATTTATCCAATGGGGTCTTTTGATTTGGGTCCAATTTTATAAGCCTGTTTTGAATGGAATCCACTTATATTACATAAGCATAAGTGGGGGCTTGTAAGTACAACAATCATCCACGTCAGCAATTAAAAGCACATAATTTACCAACAAAATTACAACAATTTCCATTAGATGGTTTATCAGGTCTCTTGCAGATTATCTCATTGTTTATTCAAAACCTTATCCTCTTATCTTTCAAATTGGTTTGCGTCTGTATCCAGCGGAAACCTTGTTTTGAATCCTAAATTCGAATGAAACTATGAAAGCTATCAATTTTCTCCCAGTATATGATGAAAACAGAATAACCGAATATTTGGTTCGGGTTTCATGGTATACCTGGAGAACATGTATTGTAACTTCTCGGAAGATTTCAGCTTCATACATGGTCATCTGGTTTTGTTTTCCTAATATTATAGTTTGGTGATTTGGGTTTTGTTTTTACAGTGTTCGTTACCTAGATAACAGGTATTACACTCCCTCAACTTCAATACCAATATTTGATAACAGGTGCTACCGTATCTTTGCTCTAAATTTCTTTTTTTTTTTTCACTTCAATTGTTCGAGATTTTAGAGTTTGACAACGTGTCACATCCCTGCCCGGGCCCCCACCACATTCCAGGCTCGACTCCGCCGTAGTACGATATTGTTCGATTTAGGCCCCGACCACGCCCTCATGGTTTTGTTTCTAGGAACTCACATGAGAACTTCCCAGTAGGTCACCCATCCTAGGAATGCTCTCGCCTAAACTCGCTTAACTTCGAAGTTCCGAAGGAACCCAAAGCCAGTGAGTCCCAAAAGGTCTCGTGCTAGGTAGAGATGGGAATATACATATAAGACTTATAGAATCCACTTCCCTGGACGATATGAGATGTTACACGACAGGTATGAATTGGTGGCTAGTTATGACGCATTAGTGAAGGCTTGCACTAGTTTGAAGTCAATTAGTGGGGTTAATAGGGTTTATAATTACATTATTAGTAATGGGTTTAAGTTGGATCAGTATACGAAAAACAAGGTGCTACTTATGCATGTGAAATGTGGGATGATGATAGGTTCAATTTGTTTCTCTAGTATTTTGGTATGCTGCTTTGGCTTTTTACTTTTGTGGTGTTTGATACCTAGATTACAGGTACTACAGTTCATCTTTAATAATTGGTGTTATAAAATTGGGATTCCAAAAGATCAGCTGAAATATGGGTTTATGCCGACATTTACATGGGTGTATAAATTTTAGTTCTTCAAACATTGCAGTTAATTTTCCTCCTTCTAGCTAGTTTAATATTGTCCATAACTAAGGAATTAGAACAACCAATGCTATTTAGTGATGAGTAGTGTTGTTTGTACCATATTTGACCAATCCCGAAACTACTGAGCACCGATCAACGCTATACCGTCAAGGACCCAAAAGAGTTTCCCTCCAACCAGGAGGCCAATCATAGCGCGACACGTGTCGACATCAGAAGCCAATCATAACGCGACACATGTCAACATCAGAAGCCAATCACAACACGACACGTGTCAATGTCAAAACAAAGCTAGAAACTCTCTTCTATAAAAGGAGATCATTCTCCCACAATATTTCCGAATGTCATTTGTACTAAATCATTCACTTGTACTCACTAAAGGAGAGCTTGAACCTATGTACTTGTGTAAACCCTTCACAATTAATGAGAACTCCTCTACTCCATTGACGTAGCCAATCTGGGTGAACCACGTATATCTTGTGTTTACTTCCCTGTCTCTATCCATTTACATACTTATCCACACTAGTGACCGGAGCAATCTAGCGAAAGTCATAAACTTAATATTTTCTGTTGTACCAAAGTCCCCACTGATTTTGTGCATCAACAAGTGTAATTGTTAAATGTTGATTTTTATTATTTTTTCCTAATCCATTTTTATTAGTATCTGTGGTAAATATAAACTACTTGCCCTTGTAACACAGTAATCCATTTTTATTCTGATCTTCTAGCATTAATCTAGAGAATCTTCTACCTGCCCTTGTAGAATATGATTTTTACATCATAATTAGTTGTACAGGCATATTACTTTTTGGTTACTATGCTTCTGTTGGCTTGTAGGATATTGTGGATGAATTGAATTCTGCAGTGAGAATATATATTTATCTTGAACTTCTATTGAAAAAGGTGCGGGAGAACAACTATGTTTTCTTTCCGATTAACCATTTCAAAGGAATGCATTATACTTTGCTTGTGTTCAACAAACAAAGTGGATGGTGGGAACATTACAACACATTACAAACCAAGTTGAATATGTATGTGGATCCTTATTTCGAAGAGGCTAAAAAATTGGTAAGTTGATAACTATGTAGTATACCTCTTATCCTTCGAATTTTATTTCACACACTAACTTTGTAATGTGTTCTTTTTTTATTTTATTATTTTTTTTGTAGCATGTGAAAATTTCTGACTACTTTAAGCACATGAAAGATAGTATTTTAAGAAAGCTCAATGAGAACTCTATTTGCAAACATATCATGAAAGGTGATAAGGTATAGACATTGTTGTACACGCTTAGCCATGATGACTGAGAATTTCTCATGTGGTTGAGGCAAACTAATGTTGAGTATCCACTGAAAGCAAACATATCATGCTCACAACAATTTCCTAACATGTAAGTGTTAATTTCATCTGTATTATGTCTATTTGTTGGTTTCTTGGTGATAGAATGTAATATTTAAGTTCATACCCCTTTTTTGTTAAACAGTTATGACTGTGGAGTTGTTGTGATGTATATTGCACAAAAAAAGCTGATGGAGAATTAGTCGAAGGTGTCTTTTCGGCAGAGGCGATGAAGAATATGAGAGCACATGTCCTTTGTAGATTCATAAATGAGGGAGATGGTAGCTAGGAAAAGGAAGAGTAGGATAAAGATGTTATGCGAAATTTGAGTTTTTGTTTCATTTAAGTGTTTCAATTTAATAAAATGATGGGACTCCAATTCATCCGAATTCATTTTCTGCTAGATAAGTTTGGGTGTTATGTGAACTGAGATATGCTTTGTCATATCTGTTTTTTAATTTCAATTTCAATTGAAAGGGAATAGTCTTCATGTTTTCCTTTATTGATTGCACAATAAGATTTGTTTGTAATCTCAGATAATGTTATTTTGTCATTATCTGGACATAGTTCATCTAGTGTACTTTCGAATTGTACAAGGATAGTTATTTTCGAATTGTTGATAAAAAATAGTTGTCGGTAATTTTCCTACATGTTAGGTAGTTTAAAACCGTCCCAAAAAGTAATATACCTGTACAACTAATTGTGAATGTAAAACACCTTCTGTGCATTGGTTTTTTAGAATAAAAAGAGAAAGAAGCATATCAATGAGAGATGATAGAAAGGGATTAGGGGGATTAGGATAAAGTCTTCATGTTTTGAATTCGCACAACAAACAACAATAAAGGAGAAAACAATTATAATATACCTGACTTGAAAATTAATTGGCATTCAATTTGCTGTGTCTTAGTCCTTTGATAGATGGAGAAGGTTGAGTATCGCCAAACCACGAAGGAAAAACACGATCATAAAAATTGTACTTGGAGAATAGGTCTCCTGAAGAAATCTGCACGTATAAAACACATGTAGTTTGTATAGAAAGTTAAAAGTGATTAAGCCTACCTTAAAAATAGATTGATAAGAAATTCAAATTCAAAAATTGTTATCAAGAAATCGGGGAGAAAGATGAAGGAAACTACTGAACAATGAATTTGAATTCTGATAAAAATTTAAAACGTGGGAAATATATGGAGAACGTGCAAAAGCTATAAGAGGGTAAAATAGTAATAACAATGCAAAAAATTCAACCTAATCCGAAAAATTGCTAACATGGAATCCTAGTCATTGGAACTAAGTCAAAAGTAACTAAAAATTGGACTAATCCTAATGTTGGGCTATAAAATTGGACTTATTTCAAGTTTCCCCTTATCCAAGGGATTAGGCCTACTTAAAAAACACTTAATTGTAGGGATACATAAATTGCAAAATAAAATGATATATAGATTATAAAGCATTAAAACATATTGAAAACATGGAGAACAAGCATAAAATGAGTGTTCATCCTAGTATTTAACAAGTCTCTTACATTTTATTGACAAAATAAAATGAAAAATGCAAGTTACCAATTTTGTGTCTGAATGAAAGTCGCAACCTAAATGGATGCCTAGGTAGGTTTAGGTGAGCTAGTTGGGCGTCTAGACAGACTAGATGAACGCCTAAGTAGGTCTAAACACATTTTCTTAATTTTTAAATGCCTAAAAACTAATCAAGCTAGTGGCCAACTGCCAAGCGCATAGGCTGTGCCTAGGCGAAGACTTTTGAAACAGTGATGAATATAAAATATTCTACTCCGCATCCTAGTATATATCAAGATTTCCGGCCATTAGAGATTGGTCTTTGAATCCTTGACCAAGAGCGCAACGCCAAAAATCTCAGTGTCCATGATATCGAAGATCAATCATGTACAAGAGAAGTAAAAATTCAGCATGTAATTACATTATTCCTTGCATGCATGTTACATTTGATTGGCTTCAGTAATTTCAATGGATGGTACAACAAACCCAAGGAGGAACATAATGAAATTACCACATCAAAGTTCCATTTCCCTTATGTTACAGTGCCCAAATTCCCAAATTACCACATATTTAAGACATACAATAAACATCAGCCAGTCATATGCCTTTCCCACTACTCCGCAACACTGCAACCCATAAACCGCTCTCCCCGGCCGCCCGCCACTTGATAACGGTCCTCTTTCTCTTTCTCTCACTGTTATGCTTACAAGAAGATGCCCGTCGGAACAAAAAGTTGCGCCCATGTAAGCCGCGAGCCATTTGATTGAGTTATGGCTGCAAGGAAACATCTTGTGGATGTTGCTCCTTAACTCTTTATCTTTGTACAAGGAAATTTCTGTATTGCTGACATGTCTTACATATGGTATTAGAACTCTTGGGAGTCAAACTCAGGATTAGACGGATACTCGAGACCCTGAAGCGCTGGTATCCGTCGTAAATCTTCATCTGAGTAAGCAGGCATGAACCAATATCGTTTGTCTGTCCCAAACACCTGGTATGGAAATAGCAGAATTCCAGTCGTATGAGCACACTGACAATTACTACGACTATTACAACCATGATCACATAGGTACCAGATTAAAGACAATTTCATGTTAAACAGTATTGTTCACGAAAAATATCCTGTCAGACGTTCAAATCCGGGCAAGATAGAACAGAAATTAGTTTAACCTGCCCATTGCTGGACTTCAACCTACCCCATGTACTAACATAACAACAGTTTTGAAAAAGACCTTGATGACCCTTTCTTTAATTGGAAAGTAAAATAGTTAAATAAAATGTAAGATTGTAGTGCATATGCCATGACTCAGTGCTACATCTCATTATTCATGATATAACCAAGGAAACTAGCAGTATAATGTTCTTCTAAGAGTATAAATAATCTGCAAACTAAGGAAAAACTAATGAATTTACATGTTTAGCAGTCTGTTGCAGAGAATTGTGTTCTGAGGCTTCCACAAAATGCCAAATCATTCCGGACTCAGTGATTATTCTATACTATATATTATAGAACATCAAAACTTTCATTCCTCCTGAAGCAAATGTTAACTTCGGAATTTTAACTTGTGAGTTCAAAACCAACTAAAAACGCGGCATGTTGGTTAAATTTAAAAGATGCACTTAAGAAAACAAAGGAAGGACATTGATGTATCACAAATTGTACCAACCTGTTCAAAATTCTTTTTTCGACCAAGGTCATAGCGCCATTTAAAGGAGGTTTTCTTTTCATATGCCTGATCACAGAGAATAATTTCATCAGCATGCAATTCCATACCGCAAGACCAATGAAGTTACTTATATGTTTGTATGAAAAAGCCTAACCATGAGTTACTAATACAGTGTAACTAGATTTTCCACATTGCTGGTGGCCCAAACATTAAACCAAGGTGACATAATTTAAAGTTGACAGATGTCAATCTAGGGACCTCTGGTAAAATTTGATATTGAAATCAAGGAAAGCAGCATTCTCCTTGATAAATGGAGCCTGAACTACATATCAAACGTCTAATCTTTCTTTAAGAGCCTACCTCTTTGACATCATTAAGATATAAGCATAAGGAAATCCCCAGTTAAAAGGCAGAATGCAAAAACCACAGACCTAGTGTTAATGAACTGAAGCAAAATACATTACCTCAATGGTTGTGGTATTTGCAGCCACCAATGAAATATGCATTATCAGAAAACCCAAAACACTTAATGCAAATGCAAGATTCAGGACTGCAAATAGAGCAGAAATGTTCATTAGTTAAGCAGGTACCAACCGCCTTGTAGGTGAGAATACTAAGAAAATAGGTAAATTTAGATAATACCAAAAGCAAGAAAGGTAGTTGCAAGGGTGCTAGGTGTTCCAGGGATTTCTCCCTCGTTAAAGAATGATATCAAATGTGGCAGCAAGGATAATGTTACAACACTTGTCTCGAGAAATGTGTAAAACTGCATTCAAATTAACAAAAGCATGAGGTTAGTCTACAGGTAAAGTTTATTCAATGTGAATTCTTACTTAAAAAATTCAGAAATCCCATGAATAGATAGCTTTGCAAGATAAGGCAAATCACATAAAACATGCACAATAACTAGTTTCTGACACAACAATCCAAAAATTTACCATCTAGTTGATTAAATATTGACCCACAAACATGATTAAAACATACTTTCCAAGTTATCGAGGGAATTTCCTATGGTATAGCATATAATATGCAACTATTACCGATACCAACCAGACTGAAACAAAGAAGTTATCATCAAAACAAAGAGTGACTGCATTCTTTAAGAAGACAGTAAAAGTCTCTTGAATTCTTAAAACTCTTACATAAATTACAAACTTTTATTATCGAAACAAAGAGTGACTGCATTCTCAAAAAACAAAAAGTGACTGCTTTCAGATTTTCTACCAGTCTAAATCTTTTCACTAAAGTCACTGGTCCTACGCTACAGATTTTTAAAAGCAATCAACTCACATCAAATCAACAGGTTTTGATTAGAAATTTTAAATGATATAATTTCCATATTGATATAAAATAAGTTAGTAAATTAGGATAATCAATGTATTTTTCTGTGTGTATTTACCCAAAATCATTAAGAAATTTGGATTTAGTTGCAAGTCCCTGTCCATAGAAACAAAAATTAGTTCATCTGTTCAGATTTTCTTCTTTTATCAAATTTTGTAACCATCAACTTAGCCTGCAGTCCAAGACCATTTTATTAACGCTAGGAAAAACTCATTACAGAAGCTCATATCTGATTTATATATATAACCCACTTACAAAATTATATACATCCCAAAAGGACCATGTTCCTAATTTATGAAATAATGTCCACAAGGTTATACTTCTTATAATCCAACAATCATTCCAAAAGTTAAATTATGGAGTTCCTTTTTAAGATTTGCTCTTCAAGGTGTGATGCATGTGCTATGAGTTATCTACAAAAAGGAAAACACAGTTTACCCCTATGGTGGATTCAGAAAACCATAAGTCATGTTAACGTTCCATGAAATGTTGCACATCAGAGAGGTCACCCAGCTCTCCCTTTGAGAACAATGGAAACTAGCCCCAACACCCTTAACATCTAATCAAAGTACCTTTATTGGAAATGCTCCCCAACTAGGGCGCACGACTTAAATGCAAGTACCTTTGTACTACCAGCTTGACTATCATAGATTCGTAGTATCACTACTCATAATCATGTGTAAGTCTCATACCTCAGAGAATAAAGCTAAAATGCAATTAGAATAGTTCTTGGCAACAAGATCATCAAATAAAAATTTGCAGGCTAGGGTGCAGAGAAAACATTAGGGGCCGTTTGATAACCATTTCGTTTTCACTTTTCGCTTTTTTGAAAACTGAAATGTTGTTTGGTAACTACTTTCAGTTTCAAGAAAATGAAAACTGAAAACTACTTCCTTGAGTATTCAAAATTTGGCCTTGAGACTTTTTGGTTTTCAGCTTTCATTTTTTTTAAAACTGAAAGTAGTTGCCAAAAAAGTGAAAACTAAAAAGTGAAAACGAAATGATTATCAAATGGACCCTTAGGGCATGTTATAAGATAATGAAAACGGAATCCTTTCGTAGTTGGAATAAAGTCTAACTCATTCAAATATAATCTCCTCTTGAAAAGTCTTTCCGCTTATGCAGAAAACAAACTTACCAAGAAAAGAAGAAAATACTTGTAATTTAAGGCCCCAACACAATGAACAACCCATACACAATGGTGATCCATTTTCAGTACACACCGCCCACCTGAAAGTTGAAATAATTTCATGCTCTGATATAAAGACAAAAGAATATAACAAAGCAAAACAAAATATCGCTAACTGATATTACGGAAAGAAAATAAAACACAGATATGGGTGACTCACAAACTGAGCAATGATGGCAACGAGGTGGTTTCAGCTGGTTGCACTTCCGGCAGTACCGGATCCTCAGATTAGAGGGGTCAGGCTGCAAACCATTAAAATCCGACCAAGTCAATGGGTCAGCCTGCCCTCTCTCTTCATCAACAGCAGGCCTCCAATTAGGTGGCACACCACCCGGATCCGTCAAAACAACAGAAAAATAACTCCATAACAGCATCACCAACTGCAACATTATAACAAGCTTTCCACTTTTAGCCTAATTTTCTCTAATACACTTAATCAGACACCATATCTTGACTGCTTTAAGCTAAACACAAATTAATATACACTCCAATTTACCCAGAAAGCTAAAAGAATTCTAGAAATTACTGCCAAAAGAAGCTCCAAGTAAGTTCAAAGTTCTTGGAACATTTGAAAGAAAAAAATGGCAGATTTTGTAATTACAAAACCAAAAGCCACAGATTCTTAAACCCAGAACCTCTAACAGAAAACCCATCAACCTCACAAAAAAATGTTAAAAAAACCCAAAATTTAATAGTTTTTGGAAGAACCCTTACCAAGCAATGAAATATGATCAATACGCCAACGGCAATGAGAGAGTCAAGGCCGCCATCGTACAAAGCCGGGCCGTAATTGGTGAAAACGACAGTGTAATAGGTGACACCGACGACCCCAAGAACCAGGAGGATCATGACCGACCCCAGACCTCGCAAAACTATGCAGAACTTGAACACGTTCCAAGCCATGGCGACTCCCGATCTATGCATAATATTACTCAAAAATACTGAATATTCATAAAGAAGAATCCTTTTTTCTCAGTTCGATCTCTCAGGGAGGTGGGTGTGATCTAGGGTTTATGATTCAGCTGATGGTTTGGAAGAACAATCCCACATAAATGCAAAACAGAGTGGGAAACAGTAATTTGAAAAACAGAGAAATATTTTCTCTATTGTTGTTTGCTTTTTTTTTTTTTGGATGTCTTATAAGTTCTGGAAACAAAATTTTTGGAAGGAAAGGGCTTAAGGGTGAGATTCCAGGTGGGGTGTGAAATTGGAATCCATGTTTTGGAGACGAGGTTTTTTCTTTATACAGCCCTTTGTCTTATGGGATCTCCCTTTTTGAATAAAAATGCGGATTAGACGTGGGCATTTTATGTCGAATTTTAATGATCTAAATTATTTATTTTATAAGTCTCGATTTATAAATTTATCATTGTAAAATTCAATTTAATCTGAAATTATTTGCTTATTTAATTATCACGATGAAATTTCATTGTTTCTTATAGAATAAAGTATTCGCCAATTTCTTTTAACTCAATTAGGTGTCTCAAATATTTCCGATTTGGCTAATATTTTGTAAGGATGATCTATGAGGTCTGTTTGTACCATACTTAGGGCCTCTGTATTTAGATCTCGTATAAATACTCGGAGGACTCAAATGTAATCATGTAATAAATGAAGGGGTAAATATGTAATAAGTGAGAGCCCTCATTCTATAAAATGACCTCTCACTCTCTTCATTAAGGGAGGCCAATTCTTAGGCCATAGGAGAGAGCTCTCTCACCCTCAGAAGCTCTCTTCCTCACATACAAAGCCACAAGGCTAACAAATAGAGAAATACAATATCAGTGTAGATGTAGCCCAAACATTTGGATGAATCCTGATACATCTTGTGTTCTTTACTTTCTTGCAGATTCACAGTCGGATTAACATTGTTCCAAGACCCCTCCAGTTTTGTGTATCAACATTTGGCGCCGTCTGTGGAAATTGACATAAAAAGCTATGTCGGTTCTTTCATTTTTTTCATCTCACCACCGTGAAACTGCAGAAACCCAAAAAACCTCACTCTTTGGGCTTTTCCAGAAAACCTTCACAGACTCTGCAGTTTTTTTAAAATAAAAAAAACCAATTTTTTTTCTCTCTCTACTCATTTCTGGAAGATCTGCAACTCACAAATTTGTGTCTGCACAAAAACTTCGTTTTGCTGCTTCCTGAGAAAAAAAGCCATGAGCGACCCAACCTCACCACACCCCACCCATTTCGCGATCGCCGAGCATCCTTCACAGCCACTATTACTTAAATCCAAGGTCTAACATGTACTAGTTATTTCCTTTACTTTTTAAACACTTTTGCTTTTGGTTCAAATAGACCAAATAGCGACTGCAACAGCTGTATCAAGTGGCGGCTTTCGTGAGAAAACCAACAGCACTCGTCGCGACCGGCTCATGCATCAAGGCTATTACAAGATCACATGAGATGAGCGGAGATCATGGCTAAAGAATCCGACAGCTATCCGACTCGGTGGGCCCACTCCGGCTCTGTCTTATTCTTTCTCGGGACTCCCTCACCTGCATCTCTGGCTCTATCTTTTTCTCGCTTTAGATTTCCGTCGAGCACAAGAATCTGACCGACCTTCAACCGCAGGACGGCTGCAACGGCCCAGATCGGGAAGAGGATGAAGAGCTCAAACGTTGAGATCAAATGGAAGCCACTGACTTGGTGCTTTCAGTATCTCATTACAATCTGCCTCTCTCTTTCTCCAGTACTCCATCGCTCTCTGCCTTATCATGCTCACACCTTTTTTTCCAGGATCGAGTTTTGGGACCAAATACGAAGTCTTCTCAACCATGCTTTTCAACTTCTCGAGCTAGGCACCGGCTAGTTCTGGCAAGAGCTCACACCCTCTCAGCATTCAGAACTCGAAAAGGTGTTTAGCAACTGCAAGAATTTACATGCGTTCTCTGGTTTATGAAAAGCAACAGCTCTTTATCTCCTAGTTCTGTATCATATCTGCACGAATCTTACTTTCTTGAATTTGAGCTATGCAGCAACTTTACAAAGTTAGGACCCTGCTAAGCTTGTTTCTCATTGTCCACATCTCCGGTGCCTTTGGGTGCTGGACACAGTGGAAGACAAAAGGTTAAAGGTTGTTAGATCAAACTGTCCTTTGATTGAGGAACTCCGTGTTTTCCCTTCTTCTCCCAATGGAGATGATGTTGTTGATGGAGTGACTGAATCTGGGTTTGTTGCTGTGTCCAATAGTTGTCCAAGACTCCGCTATGTCCTCTTCTTTTATTGGTAGATGACTAATGCCGCTGTAGTAACCATTGCACAAAACTGCCCTGATATAACCCATTTCCGTCTCTGCATAATGACCCCAACAAAACCAGATCACCTGACGGGTGAGCCTATGGATGAGGCTTTTGGTGCAGTGATGAAGATTTGCACTAAACTCGACAAGCTTAAGCACGGACAACACCTCCAACAACAGCAGTTGGGATCTAGCGGCAGCGAAATGACCTATCAGGTACGCCATAGGTAGGCGAGAGGACCCATCAGGCCAGCTCCCGACTCGGATCCCTCGAACTCGGAATCTCAACCCAGTGACTCTCAGCAGAAAAACCGAGAAGAAACAAAAACAAAAGCAAAAGCAGAGATAAGATTTTTTCTTATTATTAATTCTATTAATCATTCATTGTCTGCCATCTGCAAAAGGAAAAGAAAAAGAAAAAGCAGAAAGTAAAAGCAGAAAGCAAAAGCAAAAAACAAAAGAAGATAAAAAGAAGCAGACATAATTGCGGTGGTGATGGCATGCAGAAGAGGGAATTATATGCGTGACCCATTGAGCAGAGGGTTGGATTTATTTTTAAATGATGTAATTTATTTTTTGTATATTTCGGAGATATCTGTATAACCCCATCAGAGGGTTAAAAAAAAAAAAAAGGGGCAAGCCCAAAATAATGGGCTGGAATGTATGTGGAGGGCGAAGACCCATATGCCCAAAAGAGCCATGCCCTCTATTATCACCAACTAGGTGATCAAAAGTACGTCAAGTACTACAAAAAATTATTCGGCAGCCTGCCGCTATTATCACCAACCAGGTGATCAAAAGTACGCCCAGTACTACAAAAAATTATTCGACAGCCTGCCGCTATTATCACTAACCAAGTGATCAAAAGTACGTCCAGTACTACAAAAAATTATTCGACAGCCTACCGCTATTATCACCAACTAGGTGATCAAAAGTACGTCCAGTACTACAAAAAATTATTCAGCAGGGCTATTATCAACAACCAGGTGATTAAAAGTATGCCTAGTACTACAAAAAATTATTCGACAGCCTGCCGCTATTATCACCAACCAGGTGATTAAAAGTACGTCTAGTACTCCAAAATTATACATAAGCATCACTCATGTCAATCATACATAAACATTCATGAGCATAACTCATGTCAATCGTACATAAACATTCATGACCATCATTCATGTCAACATTCATGAGCATCACTCATGTCAACATTCATGAGCATTACTCATGTCAACATCCATAAGCATCACTCATATCAATCAACATAAACATTCATGAGCATCACTCATGTCAATCAGCTTCGAAAGCTTCATTTACAGAGCTCCAGCTTCGAGAGCTCCAGCTTCAAAAGCTTCACTTGCAAAGCTTTACCTACAAAGCTTCAGTGCAAGGTATACCAATACCGCATCCGAACAACTGCCACTTCGGCCTATACATAGAGTCAATTTTAAGTCTCCAGCCAATAACCTCTATTGACCGAAGACTTAGGGGACTACATTATGTACCATATATTGGGCCTCAACTGGGCCTCATGAAAAATACTTGGGGGACTTAGCCCATCACTTATGTATTGAGAAGCGAACCCTTATTCTATAAAAGGGACTCCCTCACCATCATTAGAGAGCATCGCCGTCAACTGAGCAACCGCATCGCCGTGTGCATCACTCCTAACCCATCACTTATGTATTGAGGAGTGAGCCCTTATTTTATAAAAATGACTCCCTCACCATCATTAGAGAGCATCGCCGCCTACTGAGCAACCGCCTCGTCGCGAGCATCAATTCTAGCCCATCATTTATGTATTGAAGAGCGAGCCCTTATTCTATAAAAAGGACTCCCTCACCTTCAACGCCACAAGCTGAGCCAACCAGGGTAACATAAACCACAACCCGAGCAGCCTCGCAACATGTGCTACTTCTAGTTGAGCATCATTTCACATTGAGCACATTCTCATATCGAGTATCAGTTCTAGATGACATCTAGTTACTTCGGCCCACACATAAACTGAATTTCAAGTCTCCAGCCAAAAGACTCTCTTGACTGAAGACTTGGGGGACTACTGTTTGTACCAAACTTAGGGCCTCCGTATTTAGATCTCGTATAAATACTAGGGGGACTCAAATGTAATTATGTAATAAATGAATAGGCAAATATATAATAAGTGAGGAGCCCTTATTCTATAAAAGGACCCATCACTCTCCTCATTAAGGGAGGCCAATTCTTAGGCCATAGGAGAGAGCTCTCTCACCCTCAGAAGCTCTCTTCCTCACATACAAAGCCACAAGGCTAACAAATAGAGAAGTACAATATCAGTGTGGATGTAGCCCAAACATTGGGGATGAACCACGATACTTCTTGTGTTCTTTACTTTCTTGCAGATTCACGGTCGGATTTACGTTATTCCAAGACCCCTCCGGTTTTGTGCATCAACAAGGACCAACTTAAAAAATAGATGGTTTGGATTGTTGAAGTTCAATGTAGTGTGAACCCCACAACCAATCCCTATTTTTTTTTTTTAAAAAAAAAAGAAGGATCCATTTCCTTAATAATAGCTCCTTATTGCCATGAGGATATTCAACTCAATCCACTCCCCACCCCATAACGCCAAAACACTACAGCCTGCTGAGGCAATTAGGTTCAAGGCAAGCTCGATGGAGAAGTCAGGCAATAATCACTTGGCCAACGCCATACTTATACAATGTCAGCCACAATTTAAATTATTAAAAAATTATAAAAACTAATTAAAAATAAAAAATTATAATGTTTTTCTATAAATACCTAACCATGTTCTTCCATTTTACACTACATTTCAATATTTTCAACCAAACTTTTATTATATATGAAATTAAAAATAAAGTTATATGTTATTATTTTATAAAGTAAAAAATACTAATAATTTAATACGAATTGCTTGGGCTATTTAGTTTTAGGGTGGAGATGCACTTAGACAATTATTGTTCACTGCAAGCAGTTACTGATTATTTAAGGGGATTGAGTTGCCTATTACCCATGAGGC